CCTGTGGAACACCGCTCGTGACGCTTCCCCACTTTGATTTCTCCCCATTTATGCAAACTCTCTGCTGCCTATTTGTCAACCATGCCTCTATCCAGGAAAAAATTTCTCCTCCTATTCCATGTGCTTTAATTTTCCTCAATAGTCTCTGATGTGGGACCCTGTCAAAAGCCTTACTGAAGTCCATATACACAATATCATATTCATTACCATGATCTACCTCCTCAAATACCTTAGTGAAAAAAGTTAATAAATTCGTAAGGCAGGAACGCCCCTTTGTAAAACCATGCTGAGATTCGTTGATTAATTTATGCTTTTCAAGGTGGCTACGAACTGCCTCGGCAATTATTGATTCCATAAATTTTCCCACTATGGAGGTTAGGCTTATTGGTCTATAGTTCGAAGCTAAGGACCTGTCACCTGTTTTGAAAATAGGTATCCTTTTCAAGTTTTTTTTTTTTTTCAAAATTCCCCTCACTAAAGGTGGAAACTTCGATCCAGTGAATTCTTCATACTTTCGTCGTTTCCTACATTGTAATTACTTACTTGAGTTTGCGGGGGGACGAGCGTAGCTACTGTGCCGTTCATCAACTTTACACACACACACACACACACACACGCGCGCGCGCGCGAGTGGTGTGTGTGTGCCTCAATCTGTCCACCGCGTGACTACTGGTCCACCGCGTGACTACTGGTCCACCGTCTGACCACTGGTCCACCGTCTGACCACTGGTCCACCGCGACATGGTCACCTTACCATGGTCCACCGTGTGACCACTGGTCCACCGTCTGACCACTGGTCCACCGTCTGACCACTGGTCCACCGTCTGAACACTGGTCCACCGCATGACCACTGGTCCATCGTGTGACCACTGGTCCACCGCGTGACCATTGGTCCACCGTGTGTCCCATGGTCCACCGTGTGACCACTGGTCCACCGTGTGATCACTGGTCCACCGTCTGACTGTGTCATGTAGGGGTGTATTAGTAACGTGAAGGATAATTGGGGAATATGTGAGTAAAAGGGAGTAATTGGGAGGGAGTAGGTAGGAGGGAGACAGAAGTGAGCAGGAAGGAGGCAGGTAGGTAGGTATGACAGGTCAGTGGTGACCACCACGACACTCATCTACTCTACACTACTCACTACCATATGACTCGCCCACTCTTCACTCATATATAAACATAATAAAATATAAGCAATAGAAATACAATAACGGGGACAGTGAATATTACTATTCTACTCAAACACAGTTTATTAAGTCCTTGTACAATAATATATTTGGAAACAGGAGAACATTATTGTGGTTTAGATAAATGGGATGGTACATATAAGCAGTGAGACAGGGAATACAATCAACTTGGCGAAAATGAATATAACTTACAAGCCACAGGTCCCAAGACCTATACAGCACGAGTACTGCTCCAAGCAGTCTCCTCCGGAGACTTCAGCAGCCTTCTCCCGAGCCCTGCACCCCAGCAGCAGCTCTGCTTGACTCTCCCTGCTCAGAGCTCTGCACACAGCAGCCGCTCCGCTTGAAGTCTCTGCTCAGAGCTCTACACCCAGGCCAGAGCTCCGCACGAATCTCCTCTGCTCAGCTGTTCCTTGGGCTTATATGGTGGTCCAAACACCCTCCACAATGAGGTGTGCACCACATGTACGACCTGACGCCGAGATCTGACGCCAGTGACGCCGAAAAGGCGTGTCTCTGACAGACATTTGCCAAGGCAAGGTGACCATATAATTGGTTAAATTAGGTCTCCCCAGAGACCTCACAAGCCCAGCTGAACTACATCACAACTAAGTGCAGCTAATGTGACATTTTATTGTGGCAACGTTTCGCTCTCCAGGAGCTTTATCAATGGCTTGATAAAGCTCCTGGAGAGCGAAACGTTGCCACAATAAAATGTCACATTAGTTGCACTTGTGTCCTTTTACTTTACATATTGTCGGTAATTCTACCAACTTTATTACATCACAACCGCTGGTCCACCGTCTGACTACTGGTTCACCGTCTGACTACTGGTCCACCGCGTGACCACTGGTTCTCCGCTTGACCACTGATCCACCACGTGTCCACTGGTCCTCCGCGTGACCACTGGTCCACCGCGTGACCACTGGTCCACCGCGTGACTACTGGTCCACCGCGTGACTACTGGTCCACCGTCTGACCACTGGTCCACCTGGGAATTATCTTACCATCTTTAAAATCAAAATAAAATTTCGAGCGCCGCTTTTTTCTTTTAATATATCACATTAATTAATAATATAAATATTATATCACCTTAATAAATATTATATATTGCGAATACACATAATTATTCTCAAAAAAATATTTTAATCAAGCCGTCACGAGAATTATAATATTTTGCACAAAGAATTCGCAATAACGAGCAATTTGAAGGAGGGAGCTACCTTCATGCTTGGTGACGGACTCTTGATCCAAGAAACTAGAGCTACTACTCAACTAAAATTATTCTAGTATACATACACACCTACGTCAGTATAGTGTAACACCAATTACCACTCATCACAGTCACCCATCACCACTCATCACCCTCACCGCATTCACCACTCACCCCATCTCCTCTCACCTCTAAATGCCCTCACTGTACTCACCCCTCAACATCATCTCCCTTCACCCCTCACCACCCTCATCAAAATCACCCCTTATCACTCTCCCCTCACACTACACCAACTTAAGTGGTGTTGCTACGTGTCGCTGTGAGACGGTGGCGCAATTTCCTCCGAATTTCCTTCCCATTGGCATACTCAAATTCCCGTAATTTTGTTGAGTTACCGCTGAGTGCTGGACATGCGTCCGTGCGTCCAGGTTCATTGAGAGAGATCACGCACGTCTGAGCGTCGAGAGTCAATGAGAAAGAACACGCATATCTGAGTGTGGGGGCTCACTGAGAAAGAGAGCACGTACAGGATGAGACTAGAAAAATTACTCACTCTTGAGATGAATCTTACATCGAAGAATCGATTGCTCTTGAAACTGATATTTAGCATTAGTTTTATTTCTAATGCGTGATTTGCATTGGAGGGAAGGAGTAAGGTAAGACGCAGTACATGCTACACCGTCATGCACACCAACACGCTGAGGTGTGATCACTTGGCTAGAAAATACACGTCGAAGTGTGTTATTTGTGGCAGTAAAGACCTAGTGACTTTCAAAACTGCCGACCCATCCACCCGGAAGCGCAGTGTTCAGAATCCGTAAGAAAAATATGAAAATTTCTGAAAGTTCGAAGGCCTCAACGAGACAGGTAGGACCCCAGACAGGTAGGACCCCAGACAGGTACATCTCCAGGCAGGTAGGACCCCAGACAGGTAGACCCCCAGACAGGTAGGACCCCAGACAGGTAGACCCCCAGACAGGTAGAACCCCAGATAGGTGAGACCTCAGACAGGTTAGGTTCCCAAACGGATAAAACACCAGGCAGGTAGAGCCCCAAACGAGTAGGACTCCACTGAGGTAGGAGCCCAGACAGGTTAGATCCCTAGGCGGGTAGGACACCAGGCAGGTAGGACCCCAGACGGGTACGATCCCAGACAGGTAGGACCCCCAAACAGGTTAGGTCCTCAGACGGATAGGATCCCAGATAGGTAGGACTCCAGACGGCTAGAACACCAAACAAAATATTGATTCCTTCGCCACTGTTCTAACTACTAGTCAAGGATTTCATTTCCACTCCCTACCACATAGGTTACACGAGACCACTGAGACCAACACACCAGTGGTCTCTGGTGCAATGGTCCACTGTAGTGAAAAACAGACCACGAAGCACAGCAAAGATATTTCAGCTACTCTCCCTCCTCTTCCCTCTCCTCGGCGGCTGTTGCTTCAGACTTTTATGGTACAAGCAATATAAAAAGAAGATTAAATGAATGGGCAGTTGCTTGCGAGTAATGGATTCTTAGTGCAAGGCGGAGCTAATGATCAGGAGGGTGGAGGGGCGGTGCTGATGGAGTGTAGTTGTGGTGGGGATAGTGGTTAGGTTGTGGGTGATTGTGGTATGATATAGTGAGGGTGGTGGTTGTGGTAGGGATTGTGAGGGCAGGGATATGGGTAAGGGTGATTGTGGTGGGGATTGTAGCATTAGGTGAGAGTGGTTGTGGTGCGAGGGAGGTAGGATGGTGGTAGGGAAGAGGGATTGTAATATCGGTGGAGATTTATGTGAAGCATCCAATTCCTTGTTCGGATCTTCTGAATCTAGATCAAAGCTTTAGTAATACTTTCCGTTCTAAAGCTCTAAGGGTCTTCATTGGGAGTAGATCTTGTTGCTATGTTTGAATATTATTCGTATATATGTATGGACGGCGTTCGATCAGACGAGCACCATCAGAGATGCGCACTTCCAGCAAGGTGGCTATGACGTTCTCCAGCACAGATTCTGCGATGTTTCTAGACTCAAGGCATTTGGGAAAATGCAGCATAATTATAGCATTTTGGCTTATGAGCTAGCAGTGTATACGGGTACTGCGTGGACTGCCACTGCACACCCTCGGTGAAACTAAAGCTGTCATGGTTTCATCATAATTTCTGCGTGGTGGCTGACGTTCTTACAGCTGCCCGGACGAAGAGGTGTCAGAGAGTTCCCAGCAGCTACTGACATGATTCTTCCACCCTTTTTTTTATTCTAACGCCAAGGGCTGCTCCTCAAAGAAGTTTTAACGACCTTAAGTAAATCGCCAACCAGACAACCGTACACGAGTTATGTTACGTTTTTCAGAGTTGCATTAAAAATTTGATTGACAAACTAAAGTCTTAATCATATAAAGCAGCGAACTTAATCAGATGGGAAAGGCATGGAGACTTTATACCGCATAATTCTGATTCTTGATCTGTTAATGAGTACGCTCTGGGTAACTTTCCAGGTTTTTATTGATGGTTGTTTGGAGCTCTGGGTTGCTGCGTGTCTTTTGGTGTGGGGGTTTATCTGGGAGAACTTTTATCTTCACTCGTAATTAATTTAATCGTTCGCTTATTCATTTACAGAATTACTCCCTCGACTGGATCACCCACACACAAAACGGACCCGAAACCTTTCTGCTGAGCCAGCATTTTCAGGTGAGGAAAACTCATACCCGAAGGTGAAACAAAGAAGACTCGTACCCGAGGGTGCAGCAGGGAAGACTTGTACCCTAGGGTAAAGCAAGAAAGACTCGTACTCGAGGTTGAAGCAAAGGAAACTTGCACCCAAGGGTGAAGCAAGGAAGACTTGTACCCGAGGGTGAAGCAAGAAAGACTTAAACCCGAGGGTGAAGTACGGAAGAAGAATCATTCCTACTGATACAAGGAGGACGTCCTATAGCTGCGGAACCACAAGGAATCCGGGTGCTGCACGAAGACAGCAGCTAGAAATTAGTTGTTTGTCAGCTAGAATAGCGGAGGGCAGGGCGAGGAAGGTAGCCATGAGGTCTTCAATGGCTGTGCCAAGACGTAAGATACCTCAGGTAAGGAAAAAAATAATCTCTCTCTCTCTCTCTCTCTCTCTCTCTCTCTCTCTCTCTCTCTCTCTCTCTCTCTCTCTCTCTCTCTCTCTCTCTCTCTCTCTCTCTCTCTCTCTCTCTCGTGTCTCTGTTTTAAGGTTTTCCTTCACCCACGTTATTGTTTAATATTTTTCTCAACCAATCATCACCGGTGGTGTGTTAACTGTTGAGCTGAATGGTGATGTCCTTGTGGGGGTATTCTCACCCCCATGATGTTTGTATCTCTTCGTGTATAAACACCGAGATGTACATATTTCTCTGTGCATATACACCAAGGTATACATCTCGCAATGTATACACACACACACACACACATTATATATATATAATATATATATATATATATATATATATATATATATATATTATATATATATATATATATATATATATATATATATATATATACTACATACACCGAGAGTTTACTTCAATCCCTAATGCACAGATTCTTGACGGTAACGCTCAGATGATAACTATGAAACCTAACAAGCCAACTAACACTGATTGTCTAACGCTTCACAGTTTTTGTTTCTCGATATTTTACCTTATTAAAATAGTTGCAACTTCATTTTCTCATCAGATTTACAATAATAAATATGGTCACTCTAGAGGAAAATACGGAGGTGTCGCTTTTTAAGAGGTTATTTATGGTGGGTTTGTAGAAGAGGTAATAAGCGAATAAGGGTAGGCCTAGCACCGTGTGGAAGGCAATTAGGCCTAAGGAAGATCTTAATTTGAGAGGTGTAATTGGCTTGAAATTAGGTAGTGTAAATTTTTGGACGCTGAGCACCTGTGGAGTTACACCTGTTAATTGAAGGGGAGGAGGACGGGGATGTACGGGAGGAAAAGAATAAAGGAAGGGAAGGGTAGGGGGGAGGAAGGAAGAAAGGCCAGAGAGAGAGAGAGGGAAGGAAAATGTTAAAAAACAGGTACATGGGTACCTGTTACTCAACACTTGCAGCAGCAGAAGGTGCTGGAGTTGTCTTCAGATACTGAACGTTGTTAAACTATAACTAGGGTACGAGGTTCATGGCAGTGCTGGCATGTGAAGATGCATGCTCTCTGATCAACCTTACATACACCATTCCTCATCCTGTTTTCCCTACGATAACCTAAGAAATCCTGCTCTGATCGGCCTCAAATTTTCGACACTGATGCATTAAACTCGGAAATTTGTTACTGTTAATGAATTGTGTACGTGCCAAAAATTTTCTTTAGAAAAGTGGAATGGCATTTTTTCTCCTGTAAAAAATTAAGTCTGCCTGTTCTGAACGGCATTAGTTTTTAACGGCTGATACATCATAAAAAAGGGATGATACATTTAGGAACTAGGCTTTGTAGCAGCAAATCTGTCACTATGTTAACATAGTTAATAAATCTGGAACTGTTGTATCCTGAGTCATAACTCAAGAATGGATCGTCTGATCGGCTTAAAATCTTTAGAGCTGGTGTGTTTTCCTCCCAGGAAGCCTCTGTTTAAAATCTCTGTGATAAATCTCCCTGTGATAAATCCCTCAGTGATAAATCTCCCTGTGATAAATTTTCCTGTGATAAATCTCCCTGTGATAAATCTCCCTGTGATAAATTTTCCTGTGATAAATCTCCCTGTGATAAATCTCCCTGTGATAAATCTCCCTGTGATAAATCTCCCTGTGATAAATCTCCCTGTGATAAATCTCCCTGTGATAAATCCCCCAGTGATAAATCGCCCTGTGATAAATGTCCCTGCGATAAATTTAGTCCACATTGATTAAGTCTACAGTGATAAAGTCTACAGTGATAAAGTCTACAGTGATAAAGTCCACAATGAAAACCCCCACAGTGATAAGGCAACAATGATCAAGTTAATATTGGTAAAGTCCACAATAATGAATTCCACAGTGAAAGTCCATAGTGATAAAACCCATTGTAATAAAGTCCATAATCATAAAGCCCTCAGTGATAAATCCTACTGTGATAAAGTCTACACAGTAGGTGTAAACAAAAGGATCTTAAGTTTCTTCCTTCTACCAACAGTAATAATAATAATAATAATAATAATAATAATAACAATAACAATGGTCTGTAAGGGACCGGAACATTGTCCAGTTGCTATTTATAATTTGTAATGATCTCAATGCTTGCCACGATGTGAACAGACATGGATGAATAAAATACTTGGAGATCTTCATTATGGAGATATTTCCCCACAATAAAGATATCCATTGTTTAGCCACGTCTGTTCATTAATATATAGTTACCAGACATGACAGGACGTGACAAGACGTAACAAAATGTGACAATATTTAATCAGACGTGGCCATAATTGATCACAGTAGATTATTTACCACTTCTGAGATGCGTTAACCCAGTCCTTTATATTTTTTATTAAAATTGATTTTTGAGATGTTTGCATTTCTCATCACCTCACCGCTTGGAGATTATTGATTTATCTTCTCTTACTGTCTACTATTTTTTCGAATACTTAAATTATCGAATTCTCCTTCTTTTTATAAGAATATTAAATGTCTGTGTACTTAACCTCCCCCCCCCTCCCTAAAAAAAAGAATACATTTGGAAAGTAAATAATTCTGTACAATTTCGAATTTCTCCAGATAACCTGTAAACATACCGACACATCCCTGCGAAGAAACTTCCTCAATAGTTTGTTATTTTTGGACATCTTGTGGAGAAATCCTTGAATAGTTTCTACCGTAGGAAAATATAACGGAATAGTGGGGATTGGTGTGTGTGTATGTGTGTGTGTATTAACCTTCAGCAGCTGTGAGGACACTTGTGGCAAATGTAAGCCACTTGTTCCTTGTTCATGTTTACCTCCATCACTACCCATGTGTGTGGATTAATATTGACCAGCATAAACGTGAAGATAATCGTCACTTAGGCTGCACTAAACTAACACATTGTTACTGGTTTGGTGTGTGAGATTACCTATTTGTCATTACTCATTTGCGATTCCTTTTTTTTTTTTTTTTTTTTTTTTTTTTTTTTTGTGTGTGTGTGTGTGTGTGTGTGTGTGTGTGTGTGTGTGATTACTTATTTTTGATTCACAATTTGTAGTCAGAGAAGCAGAAATTTTCCCATGTGCTTATTCTTCATTATCATTATTTATATTTGATTTTGTCTTGCTAGATGCAACCCACAATAATCAGCTAACACCCTGGTAACTGTACCTCTCCATACGCCTCGCCCTGCCCGGAAATCGCAGCAGGGTCCCTTCGGTTGTACATCATTTTCTCTAGCTACTGAGCTACAGGCTTATTCACTCATGTGTCTGCGGGGGATGAGCTTTGATTCTTGGGCCCCCGTGGCGTGGCTTACCTTCCTGTTCTGTGCATTTTAAATTCTCCTTTTGAGTCCATGTATTGATTTGGGCTCCACTTCATCCCTTTCTAAAGGAATTCTTGTGTGTGTGTGTGTTAGAGTAAAAAAAATAAGTGTTAGGCGGAAGTTGGTAAGAAATTCTTGCCTAGAGCAAGGAAGGTGCGACCCGTGGATCACAACATTAAACACAAAACAAGACAGCAACACACAACAGCAACGTAGCAGCAACACACAGCAGCAAGACACCACTACACATCATACAACAACAACAACGCGCAACGTTTCGCTCAGAGCGAGACCTTGTCTCACAATCTTGTCCTGTAACTCGCAAGTTTTTTAGAGGGTATAATTTGGTAAGTCTCACATTTTTTCGAATATATAATTTACATGATAAGCAAACCACAACATGCTCTCTCAGAGGAGTCGATTATAATTTTGAACTGTCTGTATTATCACTAAGACAACTTTAAAAAATCCAACAAGATTTGAGACATAAAACACAGATATGTCCTAGTCAGTCTGTTTTTTTTTTTTTTTGTTTTTTTTTTTTTTTTTTTGTTTTTTTTTTGTTATAATTTTATGGCAGGTATCTTGAAGGGGATGACTTAAATGTCGGTGAAAGGCTCTTGCTCCAGTTCCTTGTGAGCTGTTCTTTGCCTGCTTGATCCATACCTGAGTACCTTCTCCAGTCGCTGTTGATCCCTGCGACAGCAATAACAATGCGCTTGGTAGCGGTTACGTTAGGTAAGATTTGCCAGGAAACAGGAAAAGTGTTTCCTGACGCGGGTCTATTCATATGATGATCCGCCGCTGGAGATTTTAGTCATCAAACCAAGGCCTTCCGCTGACTTATAGGTCCACCCCTTTTAAAAATTTTAGTTATGATTATAACCATTTTTTTCTGGCATGCTTGGTAGCGCAGGAAGTTAGGTTGCAGATATCTCTGCGGGGTTGTCACTCCGCGCCCTGATCAACCTCGACACCTGAACTTTGTGCCATAATTTTTCTCACACTTTGCATCATTATGTACTTGTATGTTAAATCATTCATGAAATAAGGGGCAATTATTTCGCATTTGTTAAAGAAATGTCAAAATGAGAGAAAAATCCGTATGTAACTGATGTAATAACTCGCTACATTGTAACTTAACCAGCGGAACGTTAGATTCTGACTCAAGACCCATTACATGCCTCTTTCTTATTTCAACTTCCTGCTGCAGGATGGATTTTAATTACATAATGAAAAATATTAGATTATATTAAGGAAATAGAAGAGGAGGGTTGCGGCCTGAAGTACCACTCACCAGCTGAGTTACTGAGAGCGAGAGTGATCTGAGAGACGGTAAGAATGATTTGCATTGCAAGTTACGAGGAAGGAGGAGGGAGCGAGAAGGTAAATCACGAAGAGAAAGAGGTTAAACAACGAGAGAATGAGAAGTGAGTGAGAGTAAATCACAAGGAATGAGAGTGCAAATGGCAGGACTGGGAGGAGAGAAGAGACAAGGAGGAGAGAAGGGTAAATCATAAGGTCAACATTTTTCAAGGTGGGAACCTTGATGGTGGTGTCGGGTTATTGATCCGAGGAATTACGGTTGTCTTCCTTCCCTTCCTACAGCAGGCTAAACCTGATTACCTCCCATTCCCAAGGCGATGTGCGATCCCTTCCCGTTAACCTCTTCCCCATTATTATTATCACGAGGCCAACAATCTTAACCATGACTGTAAGGACCAAGAAAGCGGAACCACCTTCAGCTACGGCTGTAAGCAGTTACAAGCAGTATACGTATGTTTATATTAGTGATACTTGCGTTCCAAACCGGTATTATAAGCAACACCGGATGCAGTGCTGGTGTGTGTATCGCTGGGATAGGACGGTAGGGCTAGTGACCTCTTGTGGCAATAAAAGGAGAGGGAGAGTGAGCTTCTGAGAGAATGATTGTGAGTGAAGGCCTGTGAGTGAAGGCGTCTTGAGTGAAGGGTTGAGTCAGGGTGTCCTCCTTACCAAGAAGTGCGAGTCTCTGTGTAGGAATACAGTAAATTAATTTCTTGTTAGTTCAATTCGTTAGGTAAAAGGACACAAGTTCAATTCAGTGAACAAATAAAATTTAAATAGAGATAAAAAGTATAAGGAGAGGATTTTTGGTCGAGGACACCACAAACAAACAACAACAGACAACACATACCTTAAACAACACCTGTGAACTCCTGAAACACTGCCTAGCTTGAGTAATTTGGGAGAGGCAGGAGCTGCTGTGTCCCGCGGGCAGTTCCTTGTACGTTCCGAACCCGTTATCCCGGACGCTGCAAGGTAATCCCTGAATGGAATCTGAGCCCATTATCCCGGACTCTGCCATGTAATCCCTGGATGGAATCCAAGCCCGTTATTCCGGACTCTGCAAGGTAATCCCTGGATGGAATCCCGGATCTGGCCAGGTAGTTCCTGGCCGGATTGACTCACGTTCGGAACCTGCTATCCTTAACTCGAGCAAGTTAGCTTCAACTTGCTCCCTCCTTCATTGCCTTCCCTCACCCAGGACTCCTAAGGCTGCAGGCAACCAGTCTGAGTCCTTGCTTATTTCTCCACTCTGAGAATTGCCCAGTTAATGGAGAAGGCTCTCTCACCTATACCTACCTAAGTGTAGTCACCTATTTGTGTTTGGAGGGTTGAATTTAGGCTCATAACCCCACCTCTCAACTGTTTACGAGAAGTCACTCTTTCTGAACTTATGGGTTCCATTATATCTACTCCTAAAACTGTCTATGGAATCACCTTTACAATTTCTTTATCCATATCTGCCCACTTTCTGACCACTCTCGGATTAAATACTTTCTGATCTACCTATGACTCAATTTACCCCTTTAACTTCTATATTTAGTCCTTGTTCTCGGTCTCAGCTTTTCAGACAGCTTTATTAAGTCCTTTGAACAGTGTATACTTTGTAATTATATCTTCACTTGAGTTTTCTCTCTTTCAATGTAGTAAGGTTTATTTCCTTTAGAATTTCTTCGCAGGTTATTCTTAGTTCCAGGATTAATTTCGTATCGAATCTCTTAATTTTTCTATTTCTCATGACATGTTTTCTCACGTGTAGTCTCCATCCAGGTGCTGTATACTTCATGACAGGTGTGATATATGTTCTTTGCAGTGCCCTGAAAGACTTTTTGTTAAATTTTCTGAATGTTTCTCTGAAGGTAAGACATTCATACAGTAACGCGATTTTTCAGTTGATGTGCTCCTCTGGTGATATATTTGATATTTTTTCTTTATGGTTGTAGCCCATGTCCCCCATGGCTGATCCTCTTTCTTCTTCCCCGATTTTCATAAAGTAAATCCAATAACCACTTATCAGATCATTCCTACAATCTGTAAGTCCACTTGTAGCCTTCCCCTGTCTTAATTTTTCGTCTCAACATTAAATTACGATGTAATGCAAGCAGGAGTACGCTGGATTCTATCTCGTCAAGCAAGCAGCTTTTGCATTTCTGGAATGGTAACAGTCACTCCTTTCCACTCTTTTAGGGCTTCACACAGTTATGCGTTCCCACAAACCCGCTTCCTGTTCTGGGTTCACACAGTCTATGGGACTCAACTCAATATTTTCCCGCTCTTTTAATACAGGGTCTACGTCTACGAGGTCCCATTCTCCTGCCTTACGGCCTATTGGGTTCCATCTCTCTACATCCCACAATCAAGAGTCCCATTTTGTTGTTTCTCACGCTCTAAGGTGATATCCCCCTGCCTTCCGCACACTGGGGTCCCATTATCCGTACCTCCTACGCTCTGGTGGTCACATGGTTACCTGGAAGTTATTCCGGGGATCAACGCCCCCGCTGCCCGGTCCATGACCAGGCCTCCCGATGGATCAGGGCCTGATCAACTAGGCTGCTACTGCTGGCCGCATGCAGTCCAACGTACGAGCCACAGCCCGGCTGATCCGGCACTGACTGTAGGTATCTGTCCAGCTCTCTCTTGAAGGCAGCCAGGGGTTTATTGGTAATTCCCCTAATGCTTGATGGGAGGCTGTTGAACAGTCTTGGGCCCCGGACACTTATGGTGTTTTTCCTTAGTGTACCAATGGCGCCCCTACTTTTTATTGGGGGCATTTTGCATCGCCTGTCCAGTCTTTTACTTTCTTAGGGAGTGATTTCTGTGTGCAGATTTGGGACCATTCCTTCCAAGATTTTCCAAGTGTAGATTATGATATATCTCTCCCTCCTTATCCATGACCCAACAAGTCCCCATCTCCACGAGATTAACATAATGACCACCACCAACACGGGCCTGTGAAAATGTCGCGCGCGCGCACACACACACACACACACACACACACACACACACACACACACACACACACACACACACACACACACACACACACACACACCCGCAGTAAACAAAGACACGTAGCAATCTGTTCTGCCAATGACTCCTTGAAAGAGATGGGAAGTGATTTAGGATAGTAATGATGTCTGTTAGAGTTTGTTGCCATGTTTTGACTACTGCTTTGAAACCGTCGTCCCAGCTATTTTTTCTGACTACGGTCTTGAGCACCGTCGTCCCAGCTGGGTTCTCTGACCTCTGTGTAGTGAAAACTGACGTCTCGGCAAGATTTTGTCTTCAGCAGTAACTCCAGCCCTCTTCGCTCTTCCGTAGTTCAGGCAACACATACATTGCACTTGTCTGAATCTTATTACTGCATACAAAAGGCAGAAAATCAACGAAATATATCCTTTATTTTTCTCCCATTTATCTCTCTCGGAATTCTTTACTATCTTCAAGTATTTATTTTTTTTAATCTTTTCTTTGTTTTTGTAACTTTGGTACAGCACCTGAGAGTATTCTGATTACCATCTCTTGCTTCCCCTGCAGGCCTCAGCGGGGGTGTTGAGGAAGTACCGCCGCTTGCGTCGCCGTCGCTCACTGCAGCAGGAGTACAAGAAACTTAGGTCTCTCCTCCCAGGGGCAACCAGAGCACCCCAACTACGTCGAAAGGTGAGTTTGTGTGTGTGTGTGTGTGAGTGTGTGTGTGTGTGTGTGTGTGTGTGTGTGTGTGTGTGTGTGTGTGTGTGTGTGTGTGTGTGTGTGTGTGTGTGTGTGTGTGTGAGAGAGAGAGAGTGAGAGAGAGAGATATCAGCTTGCATGAAGTGTAGCATGAGCTTGACTGTGAGGGAAGGCCTGCACGAACGAGAGTTGTTGCGTGCGAACAAGACATTAACATGAGAGTGGTAGACCTCTGATAGCTGGTATGTTGGTCGAATACATTATACCACTCCCCTCACTGTTACCGCTACTGTTTCTGCTGCAGCCACTGTTGATGCAACCATTTTTTCTTGCGGCAGCTGCAATTTCTACGTTTGCCGCTATTGTTTCTGCTGCATCTACTAATTGTTGGACTAAAGATACGTATGCACCACTTGGGATATTTTATTGAGAGACGTTTCGCCCACTGGGGATTTTATATATACAAAGATTTAAAAAAAAACATGTATAGTGGACCAAGGTTAGGTAAATTATGCGGGGTCAGGTCAGATAGTTATGTGCTGAGGACACTTGATATACTAAAACTTATGGAGTTATGGGCCACCTTATCAAATACTGCAGTCGGAGCTGCTCCCCTGTAAATAAGTCCCCCTTACATACAGTCTAATTTCTATCCATTTTATCAGGAGCCCTTGCATATTACATATCACACAAGCATTATTCAAGTTGTCTCTGCTGCACGTGTAGTTGTATCCTCTCATTCGCTGGTCTAGATATTTGGTTGTCTCGCCCCTTGTATGAGATGACATATATAACTGCTCTGGTTTCCATCGTTATACCTGGCTTCTTAATTAAGTCCCTAATGGTAGACAACGAGCTAGTAGCCATGGTCATTTGTGATCCGCGAGTACCTTAGTGACCTTGTTGGCCACCTCCTCAACTGGAAGTACGACACATCTAGTTAGCGACCCTTCTCGGAAGGCCATGTTTATGATGCGATGGGCGCGTCTTTTTGCGGTCAGAGGATGAAGTGCGAAGGAAACCGAAGACGTGTGAACGCTTGAAAAATGTGGTCGCATCACTCTTCGAAGAGCTGTGGGCTGCAAATCCAATGCGCTCTGAGGAATCCGATGATGACCCCTCTCAAAGTCCGTGTGTCATGATGTGAATGGAGGTGTAGCATATGCGTCTTATTCCCTCAGTTTACTCTGTACTGATATATCTACTATCAAAGTTGTTTCTAGTTGGAGGTTGTAACACAGACAGGCATATGGACAAAGACTTAAGTATGCAAAAGCACGACTTTAAATCGGACAACGTCCCTCTTAAGTAGACTTGAAAAAGGTTTTATTTAAAGCGAAACATCGTCCAAAAAAGCTTGTCCATATAGTTGTTGCTACTGCTGCAGCTTTTGTTACTGCTGTTACCGTTGTTGTTTGTTGCTCCTGCTGATGGTGCTGCTAGTGCAGCTGCTTGTGCTACTACTGCTTGGGCTGCTGGTACTGCTGCTACTGTTGTTGTTCATGTTGCTGCTACTTCTGCACGCACTTGTAAATATTATCGTCCCCGCCTCAGTTATAACCCTGCGTTGTCTCGTCTTCAGGTGGGCGTTGTGGACGCCGCCTACCAGTACATCTGCGAACTTCAGTCAGCGCTCCTGGCGAAATTCTCCACCAAAGGTGTCCCGGCCGATCTTGCAGGTAGGTTTCTAGGTAAGATGTGACTAGCAGTACAGGTGGTCAGGCTTTGTAGTTACTGGTGACTAGAGCTATAGTAGCTGGATAGGCTGCAAACCTACCTGTACAAAAATCTGGCTGGTAGGCTTGCAGTTACAGAGTTGAAAAGTTTTAGTTATACCCGGAGCCAGTAGTTATGTCACTAAAGGGCTGTTTTAATTTTCTAGATCATACAGGTGGAGTTGTAAATTACCCGTAACACCACCTGGTGACAGGTGGTGTTACAAATACATTATAACTATTTCTGTAATTATATGTACGGACACTTGTATAGTGTGACAAATGTAAATAATGAGATAGCAATTGTGCAGTATCTACTAGTTGAACCTGATATTTTAAGATGGTGCCATAATCACCGGTGTGTGCCATAGCTATGAGTTACATCAGCTATTTTCCTAGATGGTGCCATAATTGGAGTGTACCACAACTGAGCTTAACTCTCAGAGGAGAGGGGATGGGGAGTGCGGTGATCTGGTGAAGTTCTCCTGATCACAGGAATTGAAACTGTTGTTCTTTTCCTCGGATCAAATCTTATTACCTCCAACTCCACAGGTGGTTAATAACCCCTTGAATATACTACTATTACTACCACCATTACTACTACTAATACTATTATCATTACTACTACCATTACTGCTACCATTACTACTATTACCGTTACCCCCACTACTATTAGTATTACGCCTACCATTGCTATTACTACTACTATTAATAATAATAATAATAAATAACTCGATTGTTTGCAGGTGTTGTGGGTGGTAAAGTAGCAACGGCCTCTGACGTGCAGGCTCTGGCCCTCCACGTCATCCACAGTGCCAAAATGGCACCACCCTTCATGACCACACCCACACCCCGAACTCTAGCCACACCTTACACACTCACGCCCACCTCCCGCTCCGTCGTCACGCCCACCTCCCGCTCTGTGGCCACACCCACCGCCCGCACAGTCCTGCCTCGACTGAACCCGCCCCGGGGGTTAGCGTCCATGCAGCCGTTCCTCAAGGGTGCTCAGCGGACGAAGATATAACGTGTGTGGGTGTAGTAGTTGTACGTATGTGTGTGTGATTGCTGGTGAAGTCTTCCATCTATGTTCAATGTATTTTAGCCTGGGAAGCATGTTATATAGCCGTGATAATGGTAAACGTCCACACGTCCAAGTACTCCTGAGTGTTATTGAAAACAAAGGATCCCGACAAATTTTGTTAATGTGTATGAAACTATATGCTAGTGAGAAACACCTAGAAAAATAATGTTGATGATGTTACGAAGACAGCCACGTTGTGGAAGAAAGACAAAGAAGTATCTTTTACACCGTAAATGACAGTGCCTTGTCACTGTACTGTACAAAGTTAAGATGTCCCCTGGTGTCAGGTGTGCTTAGGTGATGAAGAAGATATTAAGTGATGAAGAAGATATTAAGTTGTAATGAAGGATGCAAAAAAGATACATGTAGATGTCACGAAGATATAGAAGCTATGTAGAGACATTGGAGATGGTTACACAGGGTGAGTGGTGTGTATCCACTGGTGGTAACAGTGCCAGGTGGCTTGAGGCGCCCAGCTGGCAGTCTTGTACCAGTTTATCACACCTACACACACACACACACACACACACACACACACACACACTGCGGGACCAAGAGCTGTGACTCGACTCCTCCAACTACATATAGGCGAGTAAACACACACACACACACCACTGAGGGGCCAGGAGCTGTGAATCGACCCCTACAACCACGTAGGAGTACACACACACAGGTGTGGTAGGCAGGTATGGGTCAAGCCAGTCTTCGTGTTATCAAAACTAGTTTATAGTGTTGAGGTACTAGAGCTTTAATGGATAGCGATCTAGCATAGCTGCTGGCTAGCATATAAAGGGGCCCCTGGGCCACCCCAATCCCCATCCTCTCTCCTTATCTTTCATCTTCCACACCATCACCGGCTATGACCGCGGCATTGTTTACTTGTGACGTCAATGCTCTCTTCACCAGTCAGCTCAAGATTATGACCTGTGACGTCACATGTCGCGCGTACCAATACGATCCAAGCAGAATCCCTCGAGGACCAATAGGAATAACCTCTAAAACAAGATTTTTTGAAAAACTTTTGATAAGTAAGCTTATTCAGGTATACACAAATACAGTTACATAGATTATCATACATAGCAGCATATGTGTAGAGAACCTAGAATAACCCAAAAGAAATCAGTGACTTATTTCCATTGGGGTCCTATTATCGACAATAAAAACCTGATATCAGTTGTCAGTAAAACTGAACATGGAACAAATGAAGACGGAGTACCTACTGAGTCAAAATGCAGTCATAGACATGGAAATGACTACGAAAATGTAGCTGAAGTAACGATATTAGTGAATACAGGAGATGCCGTTATGATAGCACTGACCAGTGCCATAGCGCGACAGGAGAACCCACCAATCGCATCCCTTCACAAAGAGCGGCGACCAATCACGTGGCTGCAGCAGCCAGTGTCGTTGCTTGTCCCTGCCGACTCGAACCTGCGAGACTAGATACTTAGGTACTAGTCTAATGGTGACTGGTGTGGAAGTTTGTTTCGAGTAATACTGAACTAACATAGTGCCGGAGCTGACTAAAACATGAAGTAGATTATGTACGGTGTCTGTGATATTAGCATAGTTTAGGTTTCATTATTATATTTAATGTGTAGCATTCTCTTTATATATATATATATATATATATATATATATATATATATATATATATATATATATATATATATATATATATATATATATATATATATATATATATATATATTGCTATCTATTTCTCATTTCATATTTGATATTTACATTTTCTTAAGATGCCAATCAATCTTCTACTCTTAAATATTAATGAATATTTATCCATTCCATTGAACAATGTACATTATTATCACGTACACAGTGTACATAGGTACCACGTACACAATACATAGTTACTACATGCACAGTGTACTCACTGAGTACATAATGTATATAGTTACCACGTACATAGTGTACATAGTTACTACGTGCAGCATACATAGTTACCACATACGCAGTGTACATAGTTACTACGTACACTGTACAAAGTTACTACGTACATAGTGTACATCATTACTAAGTAGGTGTTACAGGGTTAATGGACCAATAAACATCACATCTGACAGATGTCTTCATTATCCTGTGCCAAGACGTGGAATACACTCATCAAATTGTAATGTAATTAACAAATTATAATATAATCATCAGATTATAATAATTAACAAATATTAATATAATCAAATTATAATGATTAATAAATATTAATATAATCAAATTATAATCATTAACAAATATTAATATAATCGTCAAATTATAATAATTATTAAATATCAATATAATCATCAAATTATAATAAAATTTAAGAAATATTAATACAGTTAAGAAATGATAATATAATTACCAAATATTGATATAATTAACAAATATTAATATAATCATCAAATTATAATTAACATGTTAATTTTTTTTTTTTTTTTTTATTATCACACCGGCCGATTCCCACCAAGGCAGGGTGGCCCGAAAAAGAAAAACTTTCACCATCATTCACTCCATCACTGTCTTGCCAGAAGGGTGCTTTACACTACAGTTTTTAAACTGCAACATTAACACCCCTCCTTCAGAGTGCAGGCACTGTACTTCCCATCTCCAGGACTCAAGTCCGGCCTGCCGGTTTCCCTGAATCCCTTCATAAATGTTACTTTGCTCACACTCCAACAGCACGTCAAGTATTAAAAACCATTTGTCTCCATTCACTCCTATCAAACACGCTCACGCATGCCTGCTGGAAGTCCAAGCCCCTCGCACACAAAACCTCCTTTACCCCCTCCCTCCAACCCTTCCTAGGCCGACCCCTACCCCGCCTTCCTTCCACTACAGACTGATACACTCTTGAAGTCATTCTGTTTCGCTCCATTCTCTCTACATGTCCGAACCACCTCAACAACCCTTCCTCAGCCCTCTGGACAACAGTTTTGGTAATCCCGCACCTCCTCCTAACTTCCAAACTACGAATTCTCTGCATTATATTCACACCACACATTGCCCTCAGACATGACATCTCCACTGCCTCCAGCCTTCTCCTCGCTGCAACATTCATCACCCACGCTTCACACCCATATAAGAGCGTTGGTAAAACTATACTCTCATACATTCCCTCTTTGCCTCCAAGGACAAAGTTCTTTGTCTCCACAGACTCCTAAGTGCACCACTCACTCTTTTTCCCTCATCAATTCTATGATTACCTCATCTTTCATAGACCCATCCGCTGACACGTCCACTCCCAAATATCTGAATACGTTCACCTCCTCCATACTCTCTCCCTCCAATCTGATATTCAATCTTTCATCACCTAATCTTTTTGTTATCCTCATAACCTTACTCTTTCCTGTATTCACCTTTATTTTCTTCTTTGCACACCCTACCAAATTCATCCACCAATCTCTGCAACTTCTCTTCAGAATTCTCCCAAGAGCACAGTGTCATCGGCAAAGAGCAGCTGTGACAACTCCCACTTTGTGTGTGATTCTTATATCTTTTAACTCCACGCCTCTTGCCAAGACCCTCGCATTTACTTCTCTTACAACCCCATACTATAAATATATTAAACAACCACGGTGACATCACACATCCTTGTCTAAGGCCTACTTTTACTGGGAAAAAATTTCCCTCTTTCCTACATACTCTAACTTGAGCCTCACTATCCTCGTAAAAACTCTTCACTGCTTTCAGTAACCTACCTCCTACACCATACACTTGCAACATCTGCCACATTGCCCCCTATCCACCCTGTCATACGCCTTTTCCAAATCCATAAATGCCACAAAGACCTCTTTAGCCTTATCTAAATACTGTTCACTTATATGTTTCACTGTAAACACCTGGTCCACACACCCCCTACCTTTCCTAAAGCCTCCTTGTTCATCTGCTATCCTATTCTCCGTCTTACTCTTAATTCTTTCAATTATAAACTCTACCATACACTTTACCAGGTACACTCAACAGACTTATCCCCTATAATTTTTGCACTCTCTTTTATCCCCTTTGCCTTTATACAAAGGAACTATGCATGCTCTCTGCCAATCCCTAGGTACCTTACCCTCTTCCATACATTTATTAATAATTGCACCAACCACTCCAAAACTATATCCCCACCTGCTTTTAACATTTCTATCTTTATACCCATCAATCCCGGCTGCCTTACCCCCTTTCATTTTACCTACTGCCTCACGAACTTCCCCCACACTCACAACTGGCTCTTCCTCACTCCTACAAGATGTTATTCCTCCTTGCCTATACACGAAATCACAGCTTCCTATCTTCATCAACATTTAACAATTCCTCAAAATATTCCTTCCATCTCCCAATACCTCTACCTCTCCATTTAATAACTCTCCTCTCCTATTTTTACTGACAAATCCATTTGTTCTCTAGGCTTTCTTAACTTGTTAATCTCACTCCAAAACTTTTTCTTATTTTCAACAAAATTTGTTGATAACATCTCACCCACTCTCTCATTTGCTCTCTTTTTACATTGCTTCACCACTCTCTTAACTTCTCTCTTTTTCTCCATATACTCTTCCCTCCTTGCATCACTTCTACTTTGTAAAAACTTCTCATATGCTAACTTTTTCTCCCTTACTACTCTCTTTACATCATCATTCCACCAATCGCTCCTCTTCCCTCCTGCACCCACTTTCCTGTAACCACAAACTTCTGCTGAACACTCTAACACTACATTTTTAAACCTACCCCATACCTCTTCGACCCCATTGCCTATGCTCTCATTAGCCCATCTATCCTCCAATAGCTGTTTATATCTTACCCTAACTGCCTCCTCTTTTAGTTTATAAACCTTCACCTCTCTCTTCCCTGATGCTTCTATTCTCCTTGTATCCCATCTATATTAATATAATTAGCAAATATTAATATCAATAAATTATAAGTAACAAATATTAATATAATTGTCGGATTATAATTAACGAATATTAATATAATCATTAAATAATATAATTAACAAATATCAATGTACTCAAATTATAACACAATTAACAAACATTAATATAATCATAAAATTGAAATAATTGCAATAATTACAAAAATAATTGCAACAATCATAATTATAATTAAGGTATATTATTTTTTCATTATTAATGGTATTTTTTTTATATTTTATTTAAAATCATATGCATTACATACATAAGTTACACATACAATGCTACGTAATTAATCACGTTTTGATAATGCACTTAACCCATCCATTACACATATCTCCTATTGCTTTTAAAATATGTACAAAGTTAATGATTGACAATTTTCCCTCAACTTTCCTCAATTTTCCCGTAACTAACATAAATTAACCTAATATCTTGCGCTTACTTAGGTTCTCATATCCTACACACACCTTCAGTTATGAACTGTTTGTCCCCCCTCCCCCCACCTAGTTTACACAACGTATTTATAAGAACGTAAGAAAGAAGGAACACTGCAACAGGCCTACTGACCCATGCGAAGCCGGTCCATGCCACTCCCCGGCCAAGAACAATGACCACCTAGTTAGGCCACTTCCACATAAGGAAGGAGCACGGCACCAGACCCGGTAGCCCAAGCTAGCCAGGTCCAACTCACACCCACTCATGTATTTATCCATCATATTTTTAAAACTACACAACATCTTAGCGTCTATGACGGTACTCGGGAGTTTGTTCCACTCATCCACAACCCTGTTATCAAACCAGTGCTTTTCTATATCCTTCCTGAATCTGAACTTTTCCAACTTGAAACCATTGCTGCGAGTCCTGTCTTGGCTGGATATTTTCAGCACGCTATTTACATCCCCTTTATTTATTCCTGTTTTCCATTTATACACCTCAATCATATCCCCCCCTAATTCTGCGCCTTTCTAGAGAGTGCAGATTCAGGGCCCTCAGTCTATCCTTATAGGGAAGATTTCTGATACATGGGATCAACTTTGTCATCCTCCTCTGTAAGTTTTCCAGTGCATTTATATCCATTCTGTAATATGGTGACCAGAACTGTTCAGCATAATCTAAATGAGGCCTAACCAAGGATATATAGAGTTGAAGAACAACCTGAGGACTTCTATTATTTATACTTCTTGATATTAAGCCAAGGATTCTGTTAGTTTTATTGCGAACACTAATGCACTATTGTCTTGGTTTCAGATTACTGCTAACCAGAACTCCTAAATCCTTTTCGCAATCAGTAGTATTAAGATCTACACTATTCAGTTTATAAGTGGCATGGTTATTGTCCTGTCCAACATTTAGCACTTTGCATTTGTCTATATTAAACTGCATCTGCCACTTCTCCGACCACCTGCATCAATTATTAAAATTATCCTGGAGTGCACTAATGTCCTCAATAGAATAAATTGGACGGCCTATTTTGGTGTCATCAGCAAATTTGCTTATGTCGCTATTTATTCCCGCATCCATGTCGTTTATGTAAATTGTGAAAAATAACGGGCCCAACACCGCTTGTGACGTGCCCCCATTCTGATTTCTCCCCATTTATGCAAACTCTTTGCAGCCTATTTGTCAACCACGCCTATACCCAGGAAAAAAATTCTCCTATTCCATGTGCCTTAAATTTCCTCAAAAGTCTCTGATGTGGAACTCTATCGAAA